CGCAATTTTTTAAATATTCTTTTGTTCATACCTGATCGTTCTCTGCTTACGCGTAGCATCTGACAATTTTCGTGTTGATGTTCCCAATTTTCTATAGAACTGCCATTACTCAGTGGCGTAACTCTCTCGTAAACGCGACGATGTAATCGTGTGTTATAACGAAAGAATGCATCCAAGTATATACATATATGTATATCCATATATATGAATACGAAACAGAAAGAGAGAGAGAGTGAAAGAGAGAGAGAGAGATAGAGAGAGAGAGAGAGAGAGAGAAAGAGATGGAGAGCTTTCATGCTATTTCCCTCAAATGCTGGGCTTCCCATATTTGCATAGACGTTAGATTGACGTACTCATTGATTTCATCTCGATAGGAAAAATTTCCGCGTAAGCTTAAAAGGAAAAAAAAAAAAGAAGAAAAAAAGTACCTATTATTATCTGTTATCTACGTTATTATTATTTTTTATCATCGCAAATTGGGAAATGCTTGCTCTTCATATTACAGTTGTTCATCTTTCGAGAATTAGAATAATTAAGAAAATAGAAAAAAAAGAGGGGGGGGGGGAGGAAACAAGAGAAAGAAAAAAAAGTCATATTTATGAATATGAAAATATCGTCGTATAATTTTTAATAATATTAAAAAAATCTTAAAGATCTTTCCCTTAGATCGTAATATTGATCGAAAGAAAATTTTTTGCTATCTGATAATAACGAGACACGAGAGAACGTGATTATTTATCAAATAAACTTGAGAAGACGGTTTGTGTATTAGATAAGATAAACAATTTTCCCACGAACGATGAGAAATATAATATAGAACAACAACAGCGTTATGTATTTTCGAGTACAATTGTCAACGACAAAACTGTATCAAGAGATGGCTGGTTATTATATTAAGGTGGTATATATACCTCGTTCTTCAAAAAAAAAAAAAAAAGTTTCATCGATGCTTCATACTACGTAAGAGGAAAGAAAATATATCGGAAGTGGAAATTAACGAAAGATAACTTCGTGAAGAGTCTCGGAAAGAAAATAAAATTAAAATAGACGACGATGGAGAAAAGAAAGATGAAAATTCGGAATAAAAAAGAGAGAGAGAGAGGGTGGGGGGAAAGAAGAAATAGATGAATTATAAAAAGATGTTTGTATCGATGTTTTTTTTCTTTTTTTTTTTATAAAATTAGAATAATTGTGATAAGATGACTTATTGCAATAATAACAAAGAATTCGATAATACTTGTTCATTTTTGTAAATATCGAATTCTAATTCTCATTCTCTCTCTCTCTCTCTTTCTCTCTCTCTCTCTCTCTCTTTCTTTTTTTTCCGCTTTGGTTTTTGTCTAATTTATTGCCGCCCGCTTTTTTTGCGAAACGGACACGCGAAATTCGTGGAAAATTAGCAAGGAACTTGGCGAATTCTCGAAACCACGATGGCCTCCTTTATCTATTATATACACGAGAAACGAACGAGCGAATGGTACCAATATATCTCGTTTTCTATCGTAAAAAAAAGGAAACAAAAAAAAAACAGAAACCAAAGAATATGTGTATCATCGAATCCAGCCTATTTCGATGCTCCTATCACGTAGTCAGGTCAAGGGAGTGCGTTACTAGCGACCTCAACAAATAAAGAGAAAGACAAAAAGAAGGCCTCTCGTACGAACGAGTCACATAATATTTGTTGATCTATTTATCATCAAGAAGTAAAAATTCGGCGGTAGATAAAGCGACATCGAAAAGAAAAAAAAAGAGGAAAAAGAATCTCTTCTTATTTGACCGCGAATGTATTTATCTTCTTTCTCGCTCGTGAAAAAAAATCTAATAAAAAAAAAAAAAAAAAAAAAAAAGAAAAAGAAAAGAAAAGAAAACAAGGGATGACTAATTTGGAAATCTTTCTGAAAAAAAAAAAATACGAGAACGTTCCAACTAAAATTTTACAACCAATTTTTCTTGCACGATAATAAGTCAACGTCAGATTTGTAAAATGTACATTTTTGTCGAATTGCTTTGAATATCTAACCTGAATCATCCTATTCAATTTAATTCAAACACAATTATTCTATTCAATTGTTACCGAGTACACACACACATTACATATAAATATATATATATATACACACACATATGTATATATTTTGCTATGTATATATCTCAAAACTCGAGTTGATTTAATGTATGCTTATATATCAACATGACCTAATTTGAACTTTTCTACAATTTTCTTTAAACGGATAAAAATATTATCTTACAAAAAAGGAGAAAAATATTCTATCAAGTATTCTATCAAAAAATTATCATCTGAATGATTATTTATAATAACCTTTGTGCGATCGATGATATGGTTTAACAAACTGATTAGTACGTAAGATCTGCGCGCTCGAACGAAAGTACTACGATAATATGTATGAAATTAAGATTATTATGACCGTGATGTTTCGATCTGAAAAAAAGAAAGACGAACGAATAAATGGAAATAAATTGATTCGATTGACTCACTTTGACGATTTCGATGAAAATGTCGTGAGAACGAATAAAAAATACAATGAATCACATGTCTACGATGATGAATATAAGACGCATATCTTGTTATCGATATAAACGTAACGTCGTTTGAAATTCAAATGATATTTTACGTGATGAAATAAGTGTCGTAAGTATTAACGATATCAAATACATTTAATTAACTATCGTGAAAACAAAACAAAAATATATATATATATATATATATATATATATATATATATACGACGAAATACGTTGGACTTTATTTAATTAATATTTAAAATATACATTAGAAGAAAGTAAAAGTATAGAATCCAATTTAAATAAATACATAGAAGATCGGCTTAACAAAGCCGATTGTTACAGAATAATCGAACTTTTCGCCTTTCTAATCGCATTACCAACTACCTACGCGTACATATATAAATACATATATTTTTCCTTTCAAAAACGATTCGACGAACGTGACTCGGTCTCTCGATCGTTCAATGACGTTAGTCTCGTGCATATAGGAAAGTCCGTTGGTGTTACGTGACGTAATTAAACTGTCTCGTGCGTAAACATTTTTATAATATCATCCGAATATGCACAATGATGAAAACGTGATCAAAAAAGGTGCCGCGCTTTAAATGGAATCGAATCTGCTTTCTTCTTGTACCGGATGATTTGCGTAAATTGAGTTATCGACTTGCATATGCGCATAATAAAAAATATAATAATATCGACGAACGTTTCTCAAAGAGACAATAAAACGCAAATACTTGTATGTGCTAATTATAATGATCAGGCACATTTACTGTTCGCTAATACGTTGAAAATAAATTGCAAAAAAAAAAAAAAAGAAAAAAAGAAGAAAAAAAAGAAAATATCCTTTACCTCTTATTTTTTTTTTTCCCCCTACTCCTTTCCCAATCTTTTAATGATGTACTCGACAACGAACGTGGGTGGAAATGTCAAAGGAAAATGGCAACATAAACGAGGGACGGCTTATTTCCGTATCAACGTAACTCTTTCTTCTCTTTTTGTAAACAACTTTGTGGCAAGGTAAGAACATTCAATATTTTGATGAAAGCGATAGATAAACAAAGAAAAATGCATCTTTTCAAGAAATTGAGAGAGAATGAGATAGAAAGCGAGAGAGAGAGAGAAAGAGAGAAAAAAAAGAGAGAGAGAATAAGAAAGAAAGAAGCAAAACTTTTAAAAAAGTAGAACGAGAGATTCTTTCATGTTCGCGATCAAATTAAGACGATCAAACGTAATAAGCAACTTGAAACTTCTCTTCTTTTTTTCGAACGAGATCATTTAATTATATATTGATTTATATTTATGATACTTGATACATAACTCTTATCTTTTTGCTTATTTAACGGGACCTTCTTGGTTGAATTTAAATTAAAATCTTTATCGGTTGAGTCTTACTGAAATAGAGTGAGTGTGAGAGAGAGAGATAGAGAGAGAGAGAGAGAGAGAGAGAGAGAGAGAGAGAGAGAGAGAGAGAGAGAGAGAAAGAGATAGAGAATTGGAAAGATGAAATTAAAAATTTTTCATTTCTACTAAACTACCAAGTCATTTGAACTTTTTCCTTTAAATAATGTAAAAAGTTTTCCTTTCAACAAGTATCATACAATATCATTGGGGAATTAAGAAAAAATACAGAAAAGTATTTATCATAACAATATATAATTAAAAAATATTTCACTATTTATCTTGCATACTTTGGACATTTTATCATATCGTGTCATTATGACAAAAGCTCTCACTTTTGTTCCCCTTCCGCCGTTACAAGTTCGTTAAGGGATTATCCGGAAATTATTACACGTTGGAGGACAAGAAAATTAACTATTGTTTTCCCAGGATAATTTAGAGATTTTCTCTCGAGTTTATAGTTGATGGTAGGATCCTCAAGAAATTCTATTGAAATATCCCGACGTACAAAGTAGTTTATCATAAAACATTATGATGTAAAATTTGTAATCCTCGTCTAAGTATAGGCAATATGTGGATAAAGGAAATTTTTTTCTAAAATGATAAAAATTGATTAGAAAGAAAAATAAAAATATAATAGATAATTAAAGAAAGTAAAGGAAGTGTACCGTCGGATATAATACTTCAACAATCTTCTTGCGTTTGAAAATGGCTACGATTTTGATGATTAGGTAATATATTTATGAGCATTTACATATAATCGGGTTTATATATATATGCGAACTCGTCGTTCGAATGTGAAACTCGTACGAGTAATTTCATCATTTTTCATGAATATTCTTACAATGTCCTTGATAAACGATTATCCTTCATTTATTAAAGAAATTGACTATCTTTTCAAACTTTTTATTAGAATTTTTCAATATATATATGTAATATATGTACAAGAACACGTATATACGTATATATATATAAAAACACGTATATACGTATATATATATATTTCTATACGTATTTGTAAATGTTGTTTAAAAGAGGAAAGTAATCCTTAAAAGCTTAGAACGTGTACGTACCTTAAGGGAGGCCATATCGGACACGGACCGATGAGTCTGAATAGTTTCCAGCTGGTCCAAACACCAATCCAATTCTTCCATCGTTTCCACGGCAAGTTTTATGTAGGGCTCCTCTAAAAAGTTCAAATAGAAAAAACGAAATAATAAAGTTCGTACGTTTCATTGTTAAATAAAAAATGGTCGAATTTACAAAAGAATATTATTCGATATTTTTCGATTCAGAGCACGCATTGTACATATATATGTATGTATGTATGTACGTTTGATCTTAATACGTACAATACGTCCGACTTAAATGTATAAATCCTGATAATAAACTTAAATATCGGAGGATGCAAAAATTGCTTAAGGCGAACGTTAGAAACGTAATGCAAAGAAAATTTCATGATCTTCTGTTAATCTATCTTTCTCTAATTCTCTTAGTAAATATTATTCATATTTAGAATAAATTAAACAACGATTTGTTTATGCAAATCGTAAAATGTATTTTTGGATTATCGTACAACCAATCATTCGAAAATATTCTCAAAGGTATTTCTCTTTCAAAACAAGAAACAAGAAGTTTTATCTCGTTTTTCTTGTTTCTCGAATAGACGTTGTAAAATATATAAATCGATATTTACCTCCGGGTGCCAGGATCCGTGGCTGTGGCGTACTGCTACCCTGCGCCCCGCTACTCCTTCGTGATCTATAAAAAATAATTTTTTTTTATTTTTCTTCTTTTTTGAAAAAATTTTTTTTTTTCTTTTCTTTTTTATACTTCATTACCATCCTTCCTCGATGCACTTTCATACTCTTTCATTTTTCATCTCTCTTTTTTTCGAACGTTTTCTTTTTTTTTTTTTTTTTTTTTTTTTTAATTTCTATCTCGTTAAGAAAACGTATCGATAAATGCATCAATTTTCGATGGATGAAAACAAAACAAAAAAAAAAGAAAAAAAAGGAACATAAACACAAAAAAAAAAAAACAAAAAAGGGTATACTCACTTGTTGGTCGGGACATTCGTGAGCGACAAGAAATTGTTCCGAACCGCACGAAGAGAAGCGAGTATCTGCGCGAACGGCGTAACGATGAGATCCTCTCCATGACTGTAAAATGAAAAAGAAATTCTCATTCTCTTAATCGTTAAAAGAATTACATACATATCTATGTCTCGAATGACAACGTATCGCTTGAGAGCGTGATCGTCGATCATCGAAAAACTGTCTATCTACATCCTTTTCGAAAAGGGGATACAAATCTACGAATGGAACACATGCAAGCGTGACCTCGCCCGTCTTTTTTATTATTATTATTATTATTATTATTATTATTCTTATTATTATTATTCTTATTATTATTATTATTATTATTTTTTTTTTTTTTTTATTATCGTAACAAAAGAATTACGTTTTATGGGATGCAAACGTGCGTCAGCGAGTACTTCTCCTTTTCTATACACGTTCTTTCATCTGTTTTTTTTTCTTTTTTACTTTTTTCTTTTTTTTGCATTCTTCCATTTCTTTCATTCATATATCGCAGTCGATTTAAAAATCGCGACAAGGAGATTTGCATGATGTCATTGTTACTGAATGTCTTTTTTTTTTTTTTTTTTTTTTTTATAATAATAAACGATCGATCTGTCGAATTGCGTCACATCATTTTACATTTCAACATATTTAAAAATAAAAAAACGTTTTGTTGTACACTTTGAAGGCACACACACACACACATATATATATATATATATCAATTCAACAAGAGAGCGATTATACGGAGGCATAAGTGTCGGCATCTATGGTCGAGAGGAGGAACGATCATGATGACTATAAGTATCTTCTTTTCTCGATATAGCTCAAAGCTATTCCCGCCAAAGCGTTTAAAAGAGATCCTCGGAATGTTTCATAGTAATTCAATGTACTTACATCACATTGATTTCTCTCTTTTACGTTTATAACATTTCGAATAAAATTAAATCCTTCAATGTTACATATCAACGACACGACAAAGACAATCGTATCCATTTATGTTCTTCTAGATTTAAATTTAACTATTTTCATTATCGTTTCTCTCTCTCTCTCTCTTTTTTTCTCTCTTTCTCTCTCTTTTCCTCTCTCTTTCTATTCTTTTTCCTTTTTTTTTTCATTTTTTTTTTTTAATTTGCACCTCTCGATCAACTTCTCGATAGCTTTTATTCTAATGACCATCGGAGAAAATCCAACGTAGTTGTATAGATTTTTTTGTTTGAGGTAAAACATTTAATTATCTAATGGACATTACTTCCCTTTGTGACTTTTTCATTTCATGAATTTAACGACGAGAATTTAACGACGATGTACACGTTGAATTTCACAACTCTCTTCCCCATTATGGACGAGATTTTTCAATTCGAAACATCAATTCAATTCTGTCGAATCAAAACGCAAAATATCGTTTAAAAAGAAGAAACATATATATATATATGTGTGTGTGTGTGTGTGTGTGTGTGTGTGTGTGTGTTAATGTTAATGTGTCTGTATACGTACCATCTATTTCGTTTCGAAAGATTGTTGAAATAAACGTTTCGGGATTATAAATTGAAATTGTTGACGAGAAACGCGTGGCTATCTTCTATTAGCGTAAAATTCAAATTTCATTCATAAATTTAACGTATGTATTTAGAATAGCGAAAATATATGTTTTGTATGCTTAAAATGAAACGCAGAAAGTTCGAGTTAAATTTAAACATCAGCATAACAGATTGGCACCTTAAAGGGGAGCAGTGGAGTCGAATAGATCGCGTTATTATTCTAAACAAGTCAGGCTAATCGTCGTCCGTATAATGCATTGAAAACATCAGACCTGAAAACACGATTTTTCCAGTTAATTTCCCTTCTCGGTCATGAATAAATGTGATACGGATCGGATGGAACGATATATGTAATATCTTATAAAGAACCTTTTCGATAGCAAAGGTCAACTTTCTTTTCTTTATTAATATCTTTCTTTTCTTTTTATTACCTCTCATTTTTTCTTCCTTTTTTTTCTGTTTTTTGTTATAAAAAATGATTTTTCTTCTCCATTCCGAGAAAATGCATGAAGTCAGATATTAAAAGTGAAAATTATTCTCAATTTAAATAGAGAAATCATAGAAGGACACGGTTTCACGTCTTTTCTTTTTTCCTTTTCCCTTTTTTTTTTTTTTTATTTTTTTTTTTTTTCTTAAATATCCTTCGTTTCATTTCATTTTAATATCTTACAAATCTAATCCGCGTAGCCACAGAAAAGAGAAACTATGACCTCGAGAAAGTCCAAAGCGACACTAACGTTGACAAGTTGTTATTCGATTAACTCTCTCGTGCATAAACAACGTAGGTTGTCCATTCTAAGAACGTTGCTTGATTCTTATTAATTATTTATACAAAAGAACGCGAAGAAAGAAATATCGCCGCATCTATTTCTATTTCACTGTTACTATCTTATATTTTACACAACGAAAAAAGAAAAAAAAAAAAAAGAAAAACATACAAATTCTACTATACGAGATCTCAATACCGATATATTGTGTTTTGATAATTCTCGTTTATTAATTCCGTCAAAGATACTAAACTTTTGTAACGTTCTCTAATTCGTTCTAATAATGAAATTAATTAAATGAATATTCCTTGAATGAACACGACATGGCGACATATTGAAATCTAACATTTTCCTACTCTATTTAGGAAAATACTTAAAAGGTCATAGGTCGTGTAACAGGGAAAGAGAAAGAGAGAGAGAGAGAGAGAGAGAGAAAATGAGAGAAAACACGTATTTTATCAACTATCAAATCGTTCTCTAGATCATATTAAATCAGATTTTGAAATCATATCTGTCGGCGCACATATAATATACTGATTAATTAATTAGTTCGTTCTCGCTAATTGGCTATGCGTTCAGAATTACCAGCGGACATTGTGTGGCTTTCCCTCTCGTTATAGTTTACGTTTATAATTGGCAAGTTTCTCGTCGCATAGAAACAGAAACGTGCGTAGGATGTAACTGCTCGACGTGTAAAAAAAAAAATATATATATATATATATATATATATGTGGATGTGTGTGTATGTGTAAAAAAAGAAGAGAAAAAATCAATACAGAGATAATAATTGCGACGAAAGTGGTACCGTATCACTCTCTTTTATATCTTTACGACGCTTCGAAATGCATTTTAACGAGGATGTTTCAGAAGCATAGAGTTTTCGTATTTCTTCCAACTCTATCTTATGTTAGTCACTATCTAACTTTGTAGAGTCGTTAAAGAAACTATAATACTTACTCGAATATGGTTTCCTTTATTACTAAAGATACATTAAGAGAGAGAGAGAGAGAGAGAAGGAGAGAGAGAGAGAGAGAGAGAAAGAGAGGGATATAAAATTTTTTTCATTATTATATTATATAAATAATTTCTACTAAATCGAATAAATTCGACTCGACATTCTCGACGAAGAGTTAATAATATACATTTTCTTTATAATTAAATCAAATAAATTCATCATTCTCAATTCTGCCTAACAGATTGACGAATAAAAAAATATATACATATATATACATATATATATATATATATATATATATATATATATATATATATATATATACATAAATAACGATTTTGAAAAACGAGTAAGAGAAAATCTCAAATAGAGACTGAGAGGTCATTCGTTCAGCCAAACGACAAATTGTCTATCTCTCTTTGATCAAAGTGAGCTATTCTCCTATCTCCTATGTCCTTCTTGCGTCTACTTAAACTGTGACGTCCCATTGAATGCTTTCTTTCATATCCGACACGGTAGCAAGTGGTTGCCGTAATAGTTAGTTTCCTCGATCAATATGGCACACCTCTAACTTCTACAGAAAAGAGGAGTAGGGGGAAAATGAAGGGGCTGGAAGGGGAGCGATATACAGCTGCAAGTATGCATCCATACGAGGGAAAGGAAGGTAGAGAAAGAGAGAGAGAGAGAGAGAAAGAGAAAGAGTACTAGCAGTCCCAACTAGGTCACCTCGTAAACTAAAGGCCAAGCTCGAACAAAATGTATAAGCTTTTCGTATATAGCATCTAATTCTCTCTCTCTCTCTCTCTTTCTTGCTCTCTCTCTCTCTTTCTTGCTCTCTCTCTCTCTCTCCCTCTCTCTCTCTCTCTCTCTCTCTCTCTTTTTACAAGTTCATCTATCAATATTCTCTTTACTTTTTTTCTTCTCATCTTTGCTTCCTCATTTTGCTATTTTCCAAAACGGATCGAAAATGATGATAAATTTTCTTCTCTTCCTTCCGCTAATCATTATTCTTTCATTTAACATCTTCCTAAATTTCGGATATCTTGGTGAAAGGTTCGCTGTTAACGTCTATTATAATTTGATATAGAGAAAGAAAACAAAGAGAGAGAGAGAAAGAGAGAGAGAGAGAGAGAGAACGAAATTACAAAGAGTGTCTTCCTTTCAGGATAAAAATTGGAACGAATTAAGTGAGCTTAAATGACGTTAAACGATTTGTTCACTATTCCGCTCGACTTTAACTTTTCACACTTACTTGAATCAAGAATTTTAATGGATTTTCAACATTCCTTTCAATTATTAAATTCCTCCGTATCTTCGACGCGAAATTTATATTTACCACCTCGATATAGACATACTCTTGGAATACCTATAATCGATTTTAAACCTAATCGATTATATTTCTTGCTATTGAGGCCATAACTGTTGTCGACGTGAAAAGATGAATTTACAAAAAAAGTAAAAAAAAAAAAAAAAGAAAAAAAAAAAAGAAAAAAAAGAAAAAAAAGAAAAAAAAGTAAAAGAAAAAAAGTGAAAAAGTAGCAAGAAAATAAAATAAACATATAAATGAACATAAAAATAAAGAAACATATAAATAAAATTTGAAAAGTAAACCAATATTTTTCCTAGTTGTAAAAAATTTTCCCGATTGATAATCAACGAATGATAAAAAAGAAAAAAGAAAAAGAAAAAGAAAAAAATAATAATACGGAATGCTAGCAAGCAGCAAACGAGTGTTTATAAGAAATTGCTCGCTTTAATACTCGATCGGATATCCTTCTTTAATAATCACAAAAGAAACGGATGAAAACTTGCAAGTCG